AAGCTATTTTTGCTCGTTCCTTTTTATGCGTTTTGTGCTGTGTAACAGCAGTACAAAACGCTTATTGTCACGGGGTTGTTTGTGTGTGTATGTGTGTGTGTGTGTGTGTATGTGCGTGTATGTCCGCCCGCAGCAACTTGCTGGCAACTTTCAACTCGGGATTCACAAAAGCTAGGAAGCTGAAAATTTAAGGTAACGTTCCCCATCTACGTGCGACCCTCCCCGTACCCACGGATGACACGTACGACCCCGTAGAAGTTTAGGCAGGTGAAATTATTATCATGGGACCACGGAAGCTAGAAGGCTGAAATTTTGTGGGCATGTGCTACCCAGAAAATTTAAATTCAGCTTTCTCCTGCTCGCAGGTAGCATGTACGGCCCCATGAAAATTTTTGATGAGTATATTATTATCTCGGGAAACACGAAGTCTAGGAAGTTGAAGTTTTAGGGTTGTAACCTCCTGTCCACGAATGATCTTGAAAATTCAGCATTCCCACGCTCTCGGGTAGCATTCCCACGGCCTCATGAAAATTTTGGCAGATAAACTATTATCTCGACGATCGCGAAAGGATATTTATCCTTCAAGGTTTCAAATTCAGCTTTCATACGCCGGTGCGTGAAATTTTTAACTGTTTTCCAATGTTTGAACTATTTTTGCATAGATTAAGGTACAAAGCATTGAAAATCATTAACAGACAATCGTTCGGTGGATTGAATTGCACAAAACACATGATCGCAGCGGCTAGTCTGGCGCGCGTTGCTGTTTATTGTACTTAAATTCGTTTCGTGTCGCGGCTTACGTTGGTTTTGTGGAAATGAAGCGTGGTTTCAAAGTTTTCGAAAAATTATTGCTTTTTTTTTTTTCAGAAATCGTTGTGTTCTTTATAAATTATGCGACGCCGAAAACATCCCTCGGAGTCCGAAATCGGTGCAAGTCCGGAGAATATTGAAGAAGTAAGTGGTAGTCTCTGAAATTTTTTTATTTTTCAGAATATGCGGTTTGGAAAGTACTTATAACCATATTCCCCACTTCCTGGCCTCCCCCTATTCCCTCCCCCTCCCCCTTTTTTTTTACCTTCATTGCTACCGAATTTTCACTCCCCGGAGGGATGTGGTGCGAAATAAGAACTCCAAATATGAAGAGGTATCCTTTCCTCCCCTTCTTCCTTGATTTTGCTGAAATTTAGCCAGTTGCTGGCATTTGATTTGTTTTGGAAGGTCCAGTTGATGATAGAATTTACGACTAATTTTTCAGTGAATCTTCAAATTCCCGACCAGAACGTCTCATCCTGAACCGCGCGCACCTAGGGACTGAATTTAAATCTTTAAGTGTTTTAGAGATTTTTGAGAAATGTAAACTATGAAAGTTTGTTTGGCACTCTAGGCCAGCAGATGAAAGGGACACAGTCGAATATTGTCAGTTGTGGGAAAGCAGTGAGTGCTAATTCAGACACCCAGATAAGCGAGCCTGTGTGTGCATTAGCTGTTGTCCTGTCTGTGTTTCATCCCTAAACTATAAACACAGACGGCAGAGTCGGTGCGGAATGTGATGAGGATCATCAGTACAGTGCCCCACTCCGCCCTGTTTTGAACGAGTATGTGACTTTCCAAAGGAAGATGAAGGAGGAAAGAAAGTGAAGGCATCCTCTTTAAGTTGCACGTAAGCTGAAAACATTCCCTTAAAATTTCAGCTTTCCAGCTTTTCTGGTTCCCGAGGTAGCGATTTTCCCGCCAGAAAACTTAATGGGGCCGTACGTGAGGATCGCGTATTTCTTGGGGCTTCAGTTAGAAAAATCCGGTGGATGATGAAATTTGTTTTGTTTAGGACGTCCTAGTTGTTGGTGAAGGTAGCAGATAATTTCTAACGAATCTTCAAATTCTCAGCTGAGAAATCGCATCCTAATGAGGAAGGCCTGTTTAGAATCGAGGTGAGATAAGGCAAAAAACTCCGGCAGCAGCTCCAAGCTTCAAAAAAACACTGGCATTTTATTCGACTAAGTTTTAGGGGGAGACAGAATGAACAAAGGGCGCTCCAGTTCGCTTTGCTAGAGAATTTTTTTTTATATTATTTGTTCAGGATGACTGCAAAGAGGAAGAGGAGGCGAAGATCAGCACGGACGCACAAAAGAAACGCCGTAGAAAAAGAAAATCGAAGTAAGCGATTTTTGCTTATTATGCGTTTTGTGCTCTGTAACAACAGTACAAAACGCATATTGCCACGGGGTTGTCTGTGTGTGTGTATGTGTGTGTGTGTGTGTGTGTGTGTGTGTGTGTGTGTGTGTGTGT